AAGTAGTAAGTAGTAGTAGTAGTATAGTAGTAGTATAGTAGTAGTAGTAGTAGAGAGAGAGAGAGAGAGAGAGAGAGAGAGAGGNGAGAGAGAGAGAGAGAGAGGGCAAGAGAGAGAAAGAGGGTAAGGGGAGGGGGAGGAGGGGAGCTACGACTTGTTCCTTCTTCCACTCTTTCGAGTTGCTGCGAGGAGCTTTTGTGTAACAGTAGAAGACGTTGGAGGAACTCAAACTGTAGTAGACGATGGAGACGCTCTTGGGGTGGAAGATGATGGGTGCACTCTTGTGGCGGTGCTTGGAGAAGGCTGGCTGAGGCCGTGCTCGATGGTACCTTCAGTTGTCAATACATCGGGTGGCTTGGAGTACTAGGTGGCTCTCTTGAAGTACCCGATGGAGTGACAGATCCCAAAGGCAGTGCAGACACAACTCTGTCATCATTAACATCGAGGTGTGCATCCAACGATTCGAGAGCCTCTATGTCGTCATCAAGGTGATCGTCTTCAAGATGAGAGTCTCAATTCTTATATTTCTCTTTGTAGTTCGCCTGCAACATACACCAATGATTCGGGACGATCTGCATTCAACCGATTTTATTTAATATTGTGTAAGCTATACGTGCTCCAACATCTCTCTGCACATGAGGAATTAACACTTTGTGACAACACCTTCACCGCAATTGCATGCAATTCTGGAGTACCACCACCATACATGTCCCACCATGACACTGCTTCCATAGAACCCCAATCAGCAATAGATGGGGATAGGGTGAAAACCCCTTTATTCCCAATAAAATCACCAATTTGTTGCTACATCCTTTCTCGTTCCATATCATCTGGAATCACTACATCAAGGGCTGTGTGGTAACATGTAGAAACTTCTGGGTCCTTGTGGGGCTTCATCCTCATTTCACCCCCAGGTGCTGTTGTAGCCAACCACTCTCATGAATGATACTTAGGATTGAGAAGGAATGCCAAACAATACAACGGAAGATTTGATCGATCCCAACGAGCCACAAATAAAGTCTTCATCATTTGAAATAACACAGGATCGTCATATAGGGCCATCGCAATTTCCCCTAATATAGTTTCCATGCGCTCGTATGCATCTCCCACGACAGCCCTATAGCTATTTTATTGTCATCTATATTAGCCTTGTAAATGACATTATCAATTTATTCATCTTCCAAAATTCGTCGTCCATGATAATATCACGGACGATACCATATTAATTATCTGATGTGCCTCGTTTCAAACCTTCCCACTCCCTACCCAATACTAAAGACGTCAAGGCAACTCTCACTTCCATCAATCTCCTCACCCCTCAGTGTCGCATCTTTAGGGCTTCGGTGGTTGTACGGTGGCACACCTTTAGTGGTGGCTAATGTTTTTCACGAAAGGCAGCAAAGCAGTTTACCGACAAAGAAGCTGACATCCATGCTAAAGATGTAGGGCTTGATCCAACCCCCGAGGAGAGTCTTAGATCTGATAATAACAACCTAAGTGCTAGGCTAGTGCAGGAAGTTGCTAATACCCGGAGGGCCAACAAAGAGATATCGCCCTTAAAGCATGAGGTTTTAAGCCTCACCTCCCAGTTAGAACAGCTCACGTCTACATTATGGGTTGCTCGTGAGGCCCAAGTCGATATTTCTTCACGCTTTATTATTAATCACACGAGTGCAATACCCGTTTATCCCCAATCGCTCCTTAGTGGGCAAGGGGAAACAAGCGGGGCCGTTCATAGGTTTATAGAAGAGGATCAATAGCCCATTGTCTTAGGCTTTCAATGTTGAAGGGCGTTTTTGGATGGGTTAAGCTTGTGTTGTTCTTCTTTGGGCCTTTTTTGAGTGGGCAGCACAGGTGTTTGGTTCATGAATTCATGTTTGTTTTAGTGCCTTAGGTTGAAATTAGGATATTATATGGCCATAGGCGTGATTTTGGCTGTCTTGAACCTTTGACCTATGATTGGGTATTTTTTTGCGTCATTCGTGAACTGTGCGGTTTTTTTGGCTCTAGTCTCAGTTCATGTCATTCCCCTCGGCCTCCTCTTTTAGGATTTTTTTGACCTTTGGTGGAGATCTTTATATGTGCATGGGCTTCTTGGGCTCGATAGACATTGAATCCTTTTTGTGGACTTCTTTGAATGGTGTATGGGCTTTTTGGGCCCGATAGACATCTTTTCACCCCCTTGCTCTGTATATCAGACTCTCTTATTTGCTCGTGCATGACTTAGACACTCTCTTATGGTTTGCACGTGCATGACTTACTTTACTGTGGCTTGAATTGCAAGTAATGTCATCAGCATGACTTGCTTTACTATGGCTTAAATTGCAAGTAATGTCATCAGTTTTTTTTTTTTTATGATGATGCCATCAGTTAATATAGATTACCTTTTTTTTGTTTTTACACTTATTGATCTAATTCTTTACATTTTCTTATCTTTGTGAATGATTTGAATTTTGTACTCCCCGTTTATATATGGAGGGAGGGGATCCAAATTTGGTACGAGAGAGGAGATATGTGGGAGAGAGAGAGAGAGAGATCCAAATTGGGGGAAGAGAGAGAGATCCAAATTGGTGATAGAGAGAGAGATCCAAATTGGGGGGGGAGAGAGATCCAAATTGGGGAGATAGAGAGAGATCCAAATTGGGGTCGAGGAAGTTGGAAGTGGGTAGATGTGTGTGTGTGAGAGAGAGAGAGAGAGAGAGAGAGAGAGAGAGAGATCCGAGAGGGGGAGCTACGTAACTTAGACTCAATTGTGTTTTACTTCTTTTTGTTATATGATTTCTAGAGATTAAAATGGATTCTGATTTGGATTCTATTGCGAATGGGGTTGTGCAAAGATAAAAGAATGCAAATTACTTGTTTTTTATTTTTATTTTTATTTTTATTTTTATTTTGTTGATTTTTAGAAAGTATCATACTTAACTAATTCTACCTCTAAACTTGTTTTTAGAGGTAATTTTGTATTTGGGTGTTGGAATGGAGGAGGAAATTGGGTATGCTGATTTTTTTGGGTCTGATAATGCGACTGTGGTGTTGGAAGAAGTCGAAATGCCTACTTCCACTCCATTG